AAACCACATAGAGGAAATGAGAGGAAGAATCAGATGATTTCCACTGAAGTTGCTGAGTTAAGTTGGATGTCAAGTCTGCCCATTCTTATACTCTCCCTTCTAGATACTTCTTTGCCCTGTTGGCAAGAAAAATACAGAGGTCTAAGTTTGTAAGCTATGAGAAAAGGCAGCAAGTATTGGGGAAGATAAAGGAAACATCTAGGGTGAGTGAGTAAACACACAAAGACAAGGAGGAAAACCCACTGCCAGTGTTTTGTTTTTTAAGCATCTTTTAATTTTGCTATATTCTGCATAGACTGTTGTGATATTGTGACTTATAGGAAATACATGTATGTTTGGTCATTAGATGACCAAAATAGTTCCTCGTATGTTTTTGGTCTTTATCTACAATTCCTTGGAATTCCTTAAGTGTTCAGAGTGTTATCTCTCATTACATTATTGAAGACACCTTAGAATGAGGGCTAGTTATCAGGGGAGCAAATCTGAATAGAGGTGGAAACTTTTAGTCTCATCCTCTATCTCTTCATAGGGGAGAAAGCAGGAGCTTTTAGTTGCCAAAGGCCACTGGGTTAATCAGTCATGCCTATGTAATGAAGACGCTATAAAAACCCCAAGGGAGGGGAGCTTCTAGATTGGTAGACATGATGTGAGGAGAAGGACATGCGTGGAGAGAGCATAGAAATTCTGTGCCTTTCCTCCATACCTCACCCTATACATCTCTTCCTCTGGCCATTGATCCATATGCTTTATAGCTAAATTTTTTTGTCCTGATCTGCTGAATACGAAGAGGTACATTAATATTTCCCACTATGACTGTGCATTCACTGATTTCTCCTTGTGATGTGGTTATTTTGTGCTTTATTTAACTTTAAACTACATTGTTAGGATCCTTCGTAATGGGTGATCTAGTAAGTATTCTGGAATGTCTGCCCTTCTAGCATATTAATTAAACCTGAGGTGGGTGTCCTAGGCACCTCTTGCTTACGACCAGTTGATCAGAAGCACAGAGAATAATCTGAGGCTTTTGACAGCTATCTGAAGTTTCAGGAGGAGGTCACGGACACCTCTGGCTTGTAGCTCGTTGATCAGAAACAAGAGCTCATGGCCGGTGTCTAAAGTGGAGGGTAGCCTTGGGAGATCTGGCCTTTACCCTATCAGTCTCTTGCTGTCTTTGGGTAGAGAGAGTCAGAATTGAGTTGAATTTTCCAACACCACGCTGTGGTCTGAGAATTGCTTGTTGGTATGGGGCTTAAAACCCTCACACCCATTAGAAAATGGGCAGTAGGAAACACCATCAACTATAATACATTCACATATCTGTTAGATAATAATTATTTATTGAATATAGGTGATATCCATACCCAGCTTTATAGTAGAACATTACCAGTACCTTTGAAGTGTTTGTGTAGCCTTTACTAATCAAAATCCACTCTTTTTTGCATGTTTATAATTTTACTACATAAATTTATATCTCTATACTTCATTTTGATTGTTTTTGAAAGTTTGAATACATGAAATTACATACATTTTAATGCTTATTTTTTTCTTTACGTGGAGTCTCTGAGATTAATCCATTTATCTGTCTTTCACTGCTATGCTTTTTATTATGTGAATGCTATCATTTATTTACCATCCTTCATCATGCTTTCAATCTGGATGCTTTTTTTCTAACAGAATTTCCTGGATGGAATATTTGTTTATGTGCTAGGCTTGGGAGGAATGTTTAATTCATTCTCTACTTTAGATCAAGCTTGATAATATTGTTCTATTCTCCTGTATCTTAGCTAAATTTCTTTGTCCTGACCTGCTGAATACGAAGAGGTACATTAATATTTCCCACTATGACTGTGCATTTGCTGATTTCTCCTTGTAATGTGGTTAGTATGTGCTTTATGTAACTTTAAACGACATTGTTAGGTGCTTGAGTTTATAATTCTTTATAATCTCCTGGTAGATAGTTGACTTTATTTATACCTATAAAAGTATGTGCCCTAAGGTCTGTTTTTCTGCTATTAATAGAACTACCCAGTTTTATTCATTGTTACTAGTTTTGTACAGTTGTTATAATAAATTACTGCAGACTTGATGGCTTAAAATAACGGAAATATATTGCCTCTCAGTTCTGAAGACTGTTAGTCTAATACCAAAGTGTTGGTTAGATCACCCTCTCACTGAAGGCTCTAGAGAATAATCCTTCCCTGCCTCTTCCTCGCCTTGGGGAGCTCCTGGAAGTCCCTGGCACCCCCCAACCCCCTTGGTCTGTATCCTCCAGGAATATCTCTGTTATCAAGTACCTTTATGTGTCTGTGTCTGTGTCCAGGTTTCTCTCTCCTTGTAAGAACACCACTCACCTTAACTTGGTGTACATGCAGATACCTTATTTTGAAATAAAGTCACATTTCCAGGGTTCAGCGGGACACTATTCACAATAGTCAACTAATCAACCCACTAGTCAACTTTCAAAATTAAAAATTATGAAACACTTAAGGCATACAAAAGGTTTTGTGTCCTGTGCATGTTTGGGCTCTGAAATGTCTTTCATTCACAAACAATCTCTCCTCCACCTCATCTCCTCTATCTCAGCCCAGCAGCTATACTTTCAACTCTGATTTTTTTTTTTTAAAGATTTATTTATTTGTGCGTACAGAACTGGGGTACAGGCCAGAGGCTCAGGGGCGGTGAGAGGCTTCACCAGAGACAGAGTGGGGAACAGAACAGGCAGATCGACGAAGTACACTGCTGAGGGGAGCAGCGGGCGGGTCAGGAGAGATCTGCCACACCATGTGGTCACCTCCGGGGCAGGCGGGAATCGAACTCATTCGGAAGCGGCTTTAGATTCTCAGTGCTGTGCTTTAACCTGCTGCGCCACCAGGGAGGGCCCTCAACTCTGATTTTAACTTACCTCTGGAAGTTACCTTTTTTCCTTATTAATTCAGGCATATGTTTAAAATGTTTTAATTAAAAGTGTATATTCACCATTTCTAGGTGCTTTGCTGGAAAGTTTTGAACTTCCACTTCATTGAAAACAAACTATCACAAGTGGCTATTTTATAGCTCTTTTGAGATATTTTTTGCATATCACAGCACTCATCCACTCAAAGTGTACAACTTAGTAGGTTTTGGTATATTCAGAGTATGCGGACATCACCACAGTCTTACTCCAACATGCCTATCACGCCATACACATTAACAGCCTCTCCCTATTTCTACCCCAAACCCCATCAGTGCTAAACAGGCACTAATCTACTTTCTGGCTCTAGAATTTTTGCTTATTCTCTACATTCCTGTCTTGTATATGCTGTCTTTCTTACTAATTGTTTAGTTGGCCTCCTGTTTTGAAGGTTCATCCATTTACAACATATAATATCACTATTTTTTATTCAGAAACACTATGGCATTGCTATGGACATTCATCAGTGGATGGACATTAGGTTGCTCCTGTGAACATTTGTGTTCACTTTTGTTTGTGGGCATCTTTTCATTTCTCCTGGATATCTACCTTGGAATGGAGTAGCTGTGCTATATAGTAACTGTGTTTTGTATTTTGAAGAACTGCTAAACTCTTTTCTGAATTCACAGCCCCATTTCTCTTTCTACTAGTACTGTTCACAGATGCATTTAAAATACCAGCTGGGGTTTCACACTTGACAAGGAAGAGTTCTGGTAGTGTGTTAAGCACTGTGGAGGCGATATTATTGGAATGTTGCACCTTGATGTGGAACAAGAAGATGAAGACCAGGAAATAGCAGGAAGAGGTGGAGTCACCCAGTTCTCAGTGGATGGTGCCACGCTGACACAGTGACAGGCAGATAAAATGCCTGGGTTCCTGAAAGACACGGAGATCGTGGAAACAATTTTCAGGCAGAAAAATGATGTGTCACCCAAGACCAACTCTGAGATGCTTGCTCCATCTTTACTTTCTGACCTTGCTAGGACAGAGAAAGAAAAAAGTCTGTTGTCAGAAAAACAGAAGGGCATACAATTCTTTTGTGTTGTGATGAGGCCTATCCTGTGACCGGAACAGATCGTTGACCTTTGACTTGGGCAGGGATGCCTTCCTGGGAGCTTCAGCTTTGTGGGTGACCCACTGTGCAAGCCAAAGGGAGCTCTGTACATCTCTGGCCATATTCTTCCTGCCAGTGCAGCAATGAGACTTTTGTAGTTAAAGTGTCATGTGTACTCATGTGTGTGAGTGTGTGTACCTGAGTGTGTGGTAAGAAGCTTAAACATTTAAAAGGGAAGGTGAGCTCTTAACAACAAAAGTTTTCTAGCTGACAAGCTCCCATAAATCTGGGATTTCAGAATTGCTCATCAAGCTGTTCATCACACAATGGAACTCTTGCTATGAAGCTGCGGCCATCCTGAGAACTTGCAATTGCCACAGTAGCCTCCTTCTGGTTATCACTCTCAGGGAGTTCTTTCTTTGTTATTTATTCTCAAACATTTTGTTTCCTTTGCCATTTAGATGAATTTTAAATAAACCATTAGTAAGGAACTGCATCAGACTGTTAGAAGCTTAAACTCACGATAAGGTCAACCTGTATATCATTCTACTCAAATACTCTTCAGCAGTTTCATGTCACCAGCTGTTCTCACTCTGTGCTCACCTGGGACCTTCTGGCATTTCTAGCCTTGATGTAATTGCCCCATGGAGATAGGGAAGAGCCTAGTTCTGTCCCATTTTGTGGGTCCTCTTCTATCATCACTTCAATCATTTTCACCAGCCTTTCCAGTCTACTCCAGAAGCCAAAAGGAAGGAGAGACTCCTCCTTGGTATCCAGACTTTAACTCCAGAAACAATAGTTACCTTGATCTTCTTCTCAATGTAAATGTGTTCAGGACACATTCCTGAGTTTGATAAATCAAGGATTTTTTTTTTTTTTTTTTTTTTTGCTGTGATTGATAATGTTAAAAATCTTCATTGACTGTGTCTGAGTTTGAGTGACAGATCCTGGTCTGGTGATTTTCAAATAATTATTTACCCCCTCTCTTTATTCTAGGCCTCTCCAAATCCCTGGGGCTCATTGAAGGTTATGGTGGAAGGGGTAAAGGGGGCCTTCCTGCTACCCTGTCCCCAGCTGAAGAAGAAAAAGCCAAGGGACCCCATGAGAAGTATGGCTATAACTCCTACCTCAGTGAAAAAATTTCACTGGATCGTTCCATTCCGGATTACCGTCCCACCAAGTAAGTTCTGATTCAGCTATCGAGAGGCAGTTGCTCCATCTTGTGACTGGGTGTAGACCCAGGTCGTGATATTTTCTCATGTTATTTGTAACTAATAGGGGAGCTTTAATCTTACTCTGTCTCTTCTATGATTAATAAATACTGTTAAGTATGAAATGCTAGCAAAATTAAAAAAAAAACAAAAAAACACAACTTTTTGATTAAAGTAACCTAGAAATAGAAAAGTCCTCAGCAAAAAGTTTTGAATTAAAAACAAAGTTGGGGCCCTCCCTGGTGGCACAGCGGCAAAAGCACTGCATTAGGAAGCTTAAGCCGCTTCCGCATGAGTTCGATTCCCGCCTGCCCCGGAGGTGCCCACATGGTGAGGCAGACCTCTCCTGACCCGCCCGCTGCTCCCCTCAGCAGTGTACTTCGTCGATCTGCCTGTTCTTCACCCCACTCTGTCCCTGGTGAATTCTCTCACCCTCTGCATCTCTAGCCTGTACCCCAGTTCTGTATGAATAAATAAATAAATCTTTAAAAAAAAAAAACAAAAAAACAAAGTTGGGCCTCCCTGGTGAGGCAGAAAGTTAAGTCTCAGTGTTGTCACTGCATCAGCCTTACTTCCATCCCCGGCTAGGGAGGTGACCCATGTGGCACAGAAGACCTCTCCAGTCCCACCTGCTGCTCTCCTCAGCAGTGTACGTCAGTCTACCTGTTCTGCTCCCCACTCTGTCTTATTACTTCTCACCTCTGTACCTCTGTCCTGTACCCCAATTCTTGTGTGCTAAGTAGTCATTAAAAATAAAAGTCACTATGATCTCATAGTCTAGAGATGGTGACAAGTAAAATCTTTGCCCATTGTCTTCAAGTTTATTTTCTATACCAATAGGAACATATGATATATTGTTTTATTCTTTTTTTCATTTAACATTACTTCATGAACATTTTCTGATGCTATTAATTATGATCATTATTTCTGATGTTGGAAATTCAGTTTATTTTCAATTTATTTATTGTAAATAAATTATAAATATGACTTTGATGAATATTTCCCATTCCAATCTTTATGTATAATTGATTTGGTACTTATTTTCTTAACACACTCTAAGGGATAATCCCATGTCATATTATAGGATATTTTTGAAGTCTTAGATACACATTTTGGTATTTTCCTCCAGAAAGTTTATAGCAATCTCTACTTCTATTGGAATTTTACTAGCACCTTCCCAAACTGACTATTAGCATTTGAGAAATGCCTTTCCAAACTGACAATCCCAAGATTCTTTCTATTTATTATTTTTGCTTGAGATTCTTACTTGTAGGAAGTTTGTTTGCACTTTGTTGGCTTGTGAGAGGTCTCCATTCTGTGCTTTCAGATTTAAGAACTTATCTTTTTGTGAAAGAGAAAGGGGATGGATGACAGAATGTAGATGCTGTGGCAAAAACCCCTATTCTTTAGGCAGGATTCTGCCTTGACTTCTTCCTTTTCTATTAGATTTGTGGTGTCTCTCTTTCTCCATTTAGAGTGTGCCTTTACTTTGCGTAGATTATTTCTGTTTCAAATGGATTTTGTACAAATCAGTTAAGTATCCTGGTTACTGAGAAAAATAGATTCAAGATAAAGAAAATTATCTTAAATGGATTTAAAATTGCAGCATTAACTGAGGAACCTGTTAAATCTCTCTCTCTCTCTGCTTAATGAGCATATATTCATTTTGAATCACTAGGAAAACATACATCACCCCTGTTGGAAGCTTTTTTGTGTTCCTGGACTTATGCTCTTAAAAACATCTGGCTGTTTTCATTTCCTGGTGCTCTCTGATTAGCCTTTCCTATTTGGACGTTAGCAAATAAACAGAGCCATGTTTCTTGACACTTATAAGAAGGAAAATGCATTTAATTGAAGCTTCTAGAAACGGGTCAATTGAACAATTATTGGTGAGCACCTATTATGTGCCAGATGGTGTTCTCTGTCCTAATGACAGAATATAGGATCAGCCGCAGTCCTTGCCTACTCAGTTCTTATCTGGGGAGGGAAATGGATATGCAAGTGGATCATCTTAATACCGTGTGGTCAGTATGTGTCAGGCCAGAGACATAGATGTGCAGGGAGGGTCTAGGTAAAGTTCTCTACTTGGGATGATGTCTGAGCCAATTCTGAAGGAAGATGAAGGATTAGAAAATTAAAGAGGGGAGGAAGAGAAGGGTGGAGAAGGTAGAGAGGCAGCAAGAGCAGAGTTGGGGTGCAAATAAAAACACTGCATGTCCAGAGAGGGAAGTAAACTCAACATCACTGTTTACTGCAATGTGGCATCTTCAATGTACCATTTACACATGGTCCATCCTGAAACTTTCCTAAGGTGATAGTAAAAAGCTGAAAAGGACTGTAACCGATAAGACACAACTAAACAGCTTAGATGATGACACCAGGGAAAAGACACCTACAAAATTCTGGAAGAAGGAAAAGGATAGGCAAATGATGACTTATGTAGAAAATTGGATAAGCCTGAGACCCAGCCTGCTGCATAAGGAGGAAAGTGGTGCGCAGAACAGAAAATGCAGCCCATTAGTGATGCATTAGAATCCCAAGACTCAGGAATTGGAGGTGCCAGGTACTTCTGATGCCTGCATGGTAGATTTAAGTGGAATGACTGCAGCTGTACCCCAGGTCCAACTCTGAACAGCCAGAGACAGCCTTTTAAAACTACCCGGCACAGTATGGAAGGTTTACTCCTTAAAGAAGGTGAACTCTAGGCTTTAGTGCATAACATGTAGTCTGGGAGAGAGGCAAAGCTTTGCTGCATATGCGGTCGGGACATCCCTGTTTCCTTACTCCTCCAGGCTTTCACACACCTGTAGTCAAGAGTGTGAAGAATCTTCTAGGAGTAACCAGCTAGCCTAGAAGACCACAATGGATATGAGAGTGGTGCAGTTGTGGACATCCCCCCCAAATATCTAATTTCAGTTTACTGTTAGTAAGCTATCCTATTGGAAAGCCGCACCCATCTGCCCATGGCTTTACTGTAAAATAAGAGAGGACAGCCTGGTCCCAAGAGACCTCGGAGGAGTGTTGCTATTATAAAGGACCTTGACAACAACAGTAATAGAAAAAGCACTGGAAAGAAACAGACTGTATACTTTTAAAACCATAATTAATGTCTTAGAGAAATCATGAGATGTTTTGTTTAATTGACAAAGCAAGAACAAAGGACTATGTTTAAATAACAGAATAAAAAGAAATGATGAAGGTTAAAAATAAGATAGAAGTAAATAATTCAGTAAAAGACAGCCTGGCTACTTCCATGCTATGAAAGATAACACTGAGGAAGCCTTCTGAGAATCAGAAAAAGGGAAATGAAAAATATGAGAGAAAAGATTTAAGAAAAATAAAATTAGTCCAGTAGGCTCAACATCAACTGATAGGAATATGAGAAAGAGTTTGAGAATGCAGAGAGAAGAAAAGTCATCAAATAAGTGATAGAAAATTTCCTAGAACGATAAGATAGGAGTAAAAGAATAAAAGGCCCCATCTTCTAATGATGAATGAAAAAAAAATTAGCCCCATATCAAGAAATGTAAATGTAAAATTTCAGCACAGCATGGATAAAATGAACATCCTAGAAGCTTTTAGAGAGAAAATGTGCCTCAAATACAGTTGGTGTTTAGTTTCTCAGTGGTAACAACAACAGCTGGGAGACTAGTTAGAAAATTAACTATCAACTTAGAATTCTATACTCCACCATAGACTATTTTGTGTCAAGAGCAAGTCCAGAGTAAATACATTATGTTTATGTAGACTTTCAACAATTTTATCTCCCTTGGATTTGTTTTCAGGGAGCTGTTTAAGGATGTGCTCCAGTAAAACAAGGGAGAGGAAAGTAAAAAAGTGAATGTTTCAGGATCAAGTAAATGGGTGGATTCAAGCAAGAGAGTATAAATAGCAGAAGGGTTGTCCAGGGGAACATTCTTTGGTGAATATTAGCTGTATAGCAGAGATCAATCATTACACATTGTAAAAGGAAAGTGGAAGATTCTAGAGGGAAGAGGGGTAGATTTATTGACTGCTGAGTGTTTCTGACTATATTAAAGTGTTTTTGTTGTTGTTGTTGTTGACCAGCTCCCAAAATTTTTGAACTGGGTAAGCAATAGCTGTGTCGTTGTGAGAAGGCAAACCATTTATTAGCTCCAGAAAAGAAAGTTCTTCAAGAAATTGCAATTACATATATCCTGTGACTCAGCTGTGAATAATGTAGTCATGCAAATGTAAATATTGGATATTTATTTAACCGCAAATTATGGTCTAACTATATTGGAAGAAGGAGGAGGTGAAATGTATGTGTGAGGTGTGGGTTGTTTAAGAAAATTAAATTTCCATCTTCAGAAATAGAAAATCAATTGAAATTGTCTAACTATATAAGCTTCAAGAAATAGTAGTATAATCATGGTTATTTGGACAGATGGAGATTATAGAAATGGGATGAGAATGTTTAAGTTCTATTTTAATGAAATAATAGTTCCATTAAGCAATAAATGTCAATTTATACAAGAAATATTGTGTGGGGGTGAGGGAACAGGAAGGTGAAATTATGGATGTATGGAAGAAGACAGAGTTCGAGAACTTAGTTAAACAACATAACCATATTTGCCTTTTTCGATTAAATTGTTCTGACAATGACAGGGAGTATGAATTGGAAGATGGAATTTGAGGTGAATTTGAGAATTTGCCCATGGCCATACATGACAAGCAGAGGTAGCATTGTATGTTGAACTCCACAGCAAACATTGCCAAGTGAACTTTTGTTAATTGCAAATTAATCTTTGCCATCAGAGTGGCAAGGACCTTGCTTATAGAGGCCCCTTTTTCTGATATTTGAGCCACAGGGATTTGTAGGGTAGCAGCTGCTTTCTTTCAGGGGCTAGAGAAGAATCCTTTCTCCTCTTGTAGTTCAGGTCCTGAGGAAATGTTCTCCCAAAGGTCAGATTCCTTTCGGTGAAGCCCTCAAACACCACTCTCCTGC